AAATGTGTATAAACAAAAAACAATGCATAAGAATTTTGTATGCAAACTAACATAAAATTTAAAAAGAAATAAAAAAGAGCACTTCAAGATCTGAATTGAAATACAGTGCTGTCAATGATAGGATAATATCCACACACTTAAAAGGAAGACCCTTTTAGATAATACCCCTTGCTTGTTGGGCCTCTTATTTTACAGTAGGATTAGTCCAGAATTTGGCATTTCTTCTTCTTCTTCTTCTTTTTTTTTTTTTTACAATACTCCTTCTTCTTTGCTTGTGGGAGCACCAGTACCAAAGATTTAGCTGTGGCATCACTGTCACCTTAATATTCACATCTGCAATGTGACCCTACCATGGCAGCCAGTGGTCTTGCCAGAATGTTTCAACACCCAGCCAGAGTCCCATCCTGCCACTCTGCCACAGGCTTTTATTGATTCCAGCAACATGATATTCATATGCTTGATTAGAGGTACAAGACTTATCTGTCTGTCAGTTTCTTGTATTGACCTGCATATTGCTAATTACTTTATAGCTTAAGTATCTATAGTCTTGCTTGTTTATAATTGTTCTTATTAGTTTAGCGCTTGTCTGTCACTTTACTGCATTGTTAACAACAACCAGTACTACAAAATTAGTGCATATACAACAACAGGTTATATAGATGTAATTTGTTGTTGTTAAGTGTTGTCAAGTTGAGCATGACTCATAGCAACCCTGTGAACAAAAGACCTGAATCTTGAATTCTATAGCTATAGTCATATGTCATGTAACACACACACACACACACACACACACACACACACACACACACACCTTTCTCGGGTGAAACTGAGGAAAGCTTGAAGCATTGGCTGCAGAAGACTAAAGACTGCAGCCTTCAATATGGATTGGATCTCAAAATCAAGAAAACAAAGATCCTCACCACAGGACCAATAAATGTCATTGAGGTTTTCAATGATTTCATCTTGCTTGGATCCACAATCAATACTTTTGGCACCAGCAGTTAGGGAAAAAAAAGAAGAGTTTCATTGGGAAAAAATCTGCCATGATCTCTCCAGAGTACTAAAGAGCAATGATGTCAATCTAGAGACTAAGGTGCATCAGATCCAGGCCATGGTCATCTCAATTGCTTGCTGTGCAGCTAGACAATGAGTAAAGATGACAGAAGAAGAATCAACATCTTTGAGTTGTACTGGAGCAGAGTGCTGAACATACCATGGACTGCCAAGAAAATAAATAGGTCTGTCTTGTAGAGGATGAAACCAGTGTGCTCTTGTGGAGACTAGGATTCTGAAACTCCATCTCACACACTTTAGGCATGTCAGCAGGAAGGAACAGTCTTAGGAGAAGTTCATCATGATTGGAAAGGAAGACCCTGGATGAGATGGATTAACCCAGCGACTATGGCCATGTGGTCAGGGTATGTCAGAGACAACAACAACATATATGTAACAACATACATTACTATGTAACAATGGGCTGACAACAACTACAATGATAATATAAAAACAACCACTTAGAAGAAACACTAGAATAAATTTATACCACATTACCTGACCTTATATATGGAATTACATGCATTAATATGTTAATAATACAAACATTAAACATGGCAGGCAAGGTAAACAAATATAACCCAGTAAGCAATATGTGAACCAGGAGGGAGATTAGCACCATATCCTGAGGTCAATGAGATTTGTGATTTTGGAAGTTAGAAGTTACTTTTAATTCTTTTCTCCCTTTAAAGAGCATGGCTTCATAAATAGTTTTTTGAAAAGTTTATACCCCTGCCTTTTTATAAGCTCTTTCCTCCTCCTCCTGCTCTTCTTCTTCTTTTTTTTTTGGTTGTTTTTGTTGTTGTATACCAGTGAATGAGATCTGAATGGCACTGGAGGAGATTGCCCCTCTTTCTCCAGTGGAGCATCTGGGGGGTTCTAATCGTGAGTGTTTGGGATTGCAGCACAACTTCTTGCTACTAGGCCACCAAAGCTCCCTTTTCTCTCTCCTTTGTAATACCCAGCATCCTCCTTACTATTGTTTTCTTGTGCTTAGGTGCCACTGACTCAAATATCTCTCAAAGTGACCCGATGATCACCAGATCTGGACCTTGCCCTGACATGCATCATCTTCAAGATCTCTGCCTTGTCAAGCTATCTTGTTGAGAGTCTTCTTCTCTTTCATTGACCTTTCCCAGCTTGATATATTTTTCCAAGGACATGTAGCTAGGTGAGGCTATTCTTTGGAGAGGGACACCATGCTTGGAAAAATGAGGGGTGAGCAAAGGAGAGAGGAAGACCCTCAATGAGATGGATTCATACAGTGACTTCAGCAATGGGCTTGAGTGTTTAAGAGATAGTGAGGATGGCACAGGATAGGGCAGGTTTCAGGTTGGCTGTTCATAGGGTTGCTATGAGTCAGACTCAACTTGATGGCACCTAACAACAAGACATACTCATACACAAACTCTGTGTGTGTGTGTGTGTGTGTGTGTGTGTGTGTGTGTACATATATATGTCTACTTTTATTAAATAATCCCCCACCCAGCCCTGGGGATAGTGTGAATACACTACCACAAATATGGTAGTCCCCCACTACCACAAATTATGCAGTCAAGTTTCCCATATTTGGGGAAATTGCAGGGGTCAGCACATCTGGAATGTAATGGAAAAGCCTCACCCTGGGAAAATGACCTTGGTGATCATAGTATCTTCCCTGCATGGTATTATATGTACTTCTTAGAAACCAAGATAGTAAAACTTCATCTCATTTATTTTGGGCACGTTATCATCTTCGTTTTTAAGAAGCATCCTGCCTGCTTCACGCTCTCCAAAGCAGACTTGTTTGTTCTTATATCAGGTCAAGAATACAATTCACAGGCATTGAGTCTTCCTTGGTCTTTAGTAACTGTACAACTTTTGGATCCACAGGAAACAACTGAAAATACCAAGGGTTGGATTTGATACACTTATGTTTTGAAAATGGCTTATTTACTCTTTAGGGCTTTGAAGGGTCCTTCACAATAGATTTCCTCACTGCAATCCATCTTTTGCTTTCTTGACTCCTGCTAGTACGGGTCTTGATTGTGGATCTAAAAAAAGACTATAATTAATAATTTCAATCTTTTTTCCCATCTTTCATGATGTTGCCATCATTTTCCTAGTCTGGTTCAAATTTTAAGACTCATCCTTTCCTTATCAAGAATCATATCTGATCTCTAACCTTTCTGAAAGGCTTAATATCACAGTATAGTTCATTTAGTGTTCAGCATTTGCACCCCTCCCAGCATTTGCCTTTGATGAATACATCTTAATATATTTGGTGACTTTTAAAGTACATTACATCTCTTTTTTAGCAACTGTTATTTCTTGGGCCTCTTGAATCCTAGGTTAAAATTTTACCTTTTTAAAAAAACAGGAAGTTTTATTACACAAACATACACACACACACACACACACACGAGAAAGAGAGAGAGAGAGAGACAGAGAGAGGGAGACAGAGAGAGACAGAGAGACAGAAAGAGAGAGAGAGAGAGAGAGAGAGAGAGAGAAAACGAACACAGGGTATATGGGAATCCCAAATCTTTAATCTTTAACCATAAGGAAACGTTCTGAATAGATATTTATAGCCTAGGATAAGCATGTGGGGAAGAGCTCATGTGTGTTATACACTTTTTGAAGAGAAAGAGGCTTAGATTGACAAAGTGACTATGTGGATGGTACAAGCTAGGGCAAGGCTCAGATCTGTTATTCACAGGGTTTCTGGGTCTTGGTCTCAAAGGCACCTAGCCACAACAAAGTTGGGCCCGGTCCTTTTAAATAACAATTGCTGTAAAAATAACAACTAGGGAGAAGGATCCAGACTTGTACCTGGAATATTTGTAGAATGTTGTGCTTTTCCATGTAGCGGAGTGCAAGCTGATAAGGATCCTGATACGCTTGAGGAAAGAGTTTCTTCTGATCAGCTACCTTCTGTTCATGAACATGCTTTTCTTGGTCAAATTGTGAAGCATAATCCTGAAATGGACATACCCCCAAAGAGTCTTTATGAACTTGTAAAACCTGAGAAATGTTTGTTATTGTTATCAGTGACATCTAGTATTGAAAGGATCTGAATGTGTTCTAAAAGTTGTAGAAAAAGACCATTTTTCTATGAGACCCAGTTGATCTTCTGTTGTTGTTACGTGTTGTCGAGTCACCTGCAACTCATAGTGACCCTATGCACAACAGCCTTAAACCCTGCTCTATCCTGTGCCAATCTCATTGTCTCTGACACACCTACCCCCATTACCCCAGTCACTGAATCAATCCATTTCATTGATGGTCTTCCTCTCCTGCATTGCCCTTCTACCCTCCCAAGCATCACATCCCTCTCCAAGGACTGGTCCCTCCTTGCAACATGTCCAAAGGATGTCAGACGAAGCTTCAGAATCCTTGCCTCCTAGGCAACATAAATTCCTTAAGTAGCCTATCCACTCAAAATACTTTTCCATTCAAAGGAATTTCCTACTTACTCCAGATTGCTTTCTCTTATTAGAAACCAGGGAGTAGGAGGGAGTATTTAGTGTTACAGAACTAATCAGATTCAAAATCCGAGTGTTTTGAATTCTGATTTATTGATCATACCTGACTGGACTCAAGAGTAGTGACAGCTAAAACCCTCTTTACTTCCCAATCTTCTACTGTCCTTCAACATGTGGGTTTATTCCTTATCCTTGATCCAACATATTACTCTACCCTCTTACCAACCATAAGCCTTTAGAAGACCTCCAACCTCCTAGGTAGATAACAAAATATTCCTTTAACTCACCAGGTTGGCTTCTAAGGCTTCAGAGACTTTTTGACCAGAGAGATTTTTGTTCAAAGTGGATGGCATAAGGGAAGACATCTGGGAAAGGGTTTCATCTTTTGCTTGAAGATAACTGATTAATTTGTTGTCAAATGGTTTGCAGTTTTCAAGAAGGGTAAGACTATCACTTTCAGTTTCTATTGCAACTGAAACTTTGGAGCTACTGAGGTTTTGGGGCCTCTCTTCAAATATGCAGGACTCTATTTTTCTGTCAGCTTCTTTGTTCTGACTGATATCCTCAAACAGGTTCAATGTTTTGTAGTCAAAATTGAAAAAGATTCCATCATCAGCCAGGTAATCTTCAATTTGGCCATCCTGTTTGTACATTAAGTGGTCAAACTGCTCATCAGCTCGATTCTCCCCGTTGGCTTTATTATAGCCATCTTCCTGCTCAGCTAGTTCAGTGTCTTGGTGAGATGTCTGGTCCTCGAGTCTTTCATCACTAGGGCTGGACAATCTGTGGTCAACCTGTACAGAAGTTCTTTCCTCTGAGACTTCAGACAATGTGTGGCGAGTGTCTTCAGGCTCAGGAGAGAAACTTTCTTCCATCTGATCAGAAGGTCTTGGTTCATCCTGGCTGGGCAATCTGTGGGAAATCGGATCATAATTTTTTTGGTCAGCCTGACCCGATATCTTGAGATTATCTTCTTCTACGTTATCAGTTTGACTAGGTTCCTGGTCATCCGTGATTGTTTGGTAAACCTTATCAGATTCTCTGCTCTTGCCGTTGTCATCCAGGGTTGATCCCGTGGCCTCGGTTAGGTCAGAAGCTTTCCCTTCATGTTCGCTGTATGTACTGGAATCAGCCGTGTGGGATGCATTTGGGACAGCCTGCTCAGTTATGTCATGACCAGTGGTGTGGTAATCGGTGTCTTCTTCAGCCTTGTTTGTCAAGTTGTCCTCTTCCAGCAAGTCAGTATGGTCTGCAGCTGCCTTGTCTGTGTGTTCAGAGGGCTCTTCCGGCGGCTCTTTTTCCATTTTCTGCGGTGTCTAGGGCTGGCGTTGGTTGCCAGGCGCGGTGGTGGATCAGCTACCTGGCTATCACGTGCTCGCTGGTCATCACGCGGAGTGTTCATGATGACGTTTCCTGAGCCCTTTGTTCGGTGGATGCCCTTCGTTCCAGGGAGAGCTTGGCAGTTGCAGGTGGGGTGCAGTTGGAGCCTGTGTGGTGCAGTTGGAACTTGAGGAGTACAGGGGAGCGCGGTACCGCTGCAGTAGGCTCTGGTGGGCTTGGGATGAGGTGATTTCCCTGCGCTCACGGCTACAGCGTCTTGATCACCACTTGGCAATCAGGCCTCCGCGAACTGGATTGATACACTGGAGTTGTACCTTCCTTGCATTTGAGGAAGCTCACCGCAGTTGAGGGAAATAGGAGCTAATTAACAAAATTGTCAGCAGATGGGCATACAACCAAACTGCGTGAAGACCATCTTTCCAAAGTCTCTGTAAACTTTCATTAAACCACTATGGAAGGGTGTATGGCGCTTTCTCAAAAAGTTGTAGATAAAAATACCATTTGACCCAGCAATTCCACTACTGGGAATATACCCTAAAGACACCATAACTGCCACTCAAGCAGATATGTTCACAATAGCAAAAAGTTGGAAACAACCCAAGTGCCCATCAACAAAAGAATATATAGATAAGCTGTGGTATAGTCACACAATGGAATAATATTACACTGCATTGAAAAACAAGGAACTCATGAAATAATATACAAAATGGGTGACCCTGGAAGACATTATGCTGAGTGAAATATCTCAATCACAAAAGGACAAATATTGCATTGGACTATTGTTGTAAATCGGAACTGACATCGGGGCTGAGTGAAGACTGAGAAAGATGGGATAAATTATGTATACTGCATTGAAACTGACGAGGGAGAGAACTGTTTAAAAGGGATATATGATTAGGTATTACTGTATGACAGGAGTCCAGAATGAAGGCTGCACATTGGAGAGGACTTGGAGGAGGATTGTATAACAATGGAAGAATTTTTCTTTTACTTTTTAAAGAGAAGAGCGAACTGGGAAGGGAGGTGTGGGCAAGGAGAAAAGTGCAACAATGAATGAATGGAAATCCAAAGTCTCTGTAAATTTTCATTAAAATTAAATAAAAAAATGATAAAAAATAAAAAAAAATCCCTAACAATCAGCGAGAAGCAAATCAAAACAACAGTGAGATACCATCTCACCCTAATAGCAATTCAAGATTGAATACAATATTTTTCTAGAATAATAATTGAATTGCAACCAACGTTGTAGAAAAATACATATCGATGATTAAATGAAACACTAATATGACTTAGACATTCTCACTCACATTAAAAAGGTTAATAAATAAATCAAAAAGTAACTATCTTTTCCAGGACAAAATAAACTAGTGAGATGAAGGGGGGGATTAAAAAAAAATCAAATTCATGGTGGTACTGACTTTTGTCTGGGGTCATAGCTGTACTGTTCAGCTTTACATTAGTGCTGGGCACTGTGTAAGTGCCAGCCATATTCAAAGTTATTTTCTAACTAGTAATAGTAATTTGGTTGGGTGAGTCAACCATATTATAGTGTTGTTTTTAATTGTTTTTAAAATCATACTAAGGGCTGTCTCTGCAAACAGTGCTGTACCGTTAAATTTTCAGTGGTCCTGACAGGCCAATCTATCACCACGTTACCACCTTCATCTGGATTTCTTCTCACATTTAATAGGATGAGAGTTTTGCTGCTGTTTCATCCTGTATGTCTCTTGGCCTCTCATTGGTGTATGTGTATCCTCTCTTGAGGAACACATGAACAGCTGTTTTCACTCTCTTCATGAAAGAATTGATTCAGAATGTGAAAACTCCAGCTGCAAGGTGTTTTCTTGCCTCGTTAGATTTATAATCTCTGGCTGAATGGCCAGGCAGCTCTGTGGCCTAGTGGTAAGGAAATGCACTGGCAACACTCAGGTATATGGTTTTAATTCACCAGCTGCTCCAGGAGAGAAAGACAGGCAAGCCCCTCCCTTGAGATTTACAGCCTCTGAAAACCCACTAGAGGCTCTGCTATGAGTTGGTTCTGACTTGATGGCACACAACAACAGCTAGATGGCCAGAGAGAGGAAAGAGAACTCAGGGAGAATGAGTTCTAAAAGCACATCATTTAGTGGTCTTATAAAATATGATTAGGAGGAGGAGGACAGACCAAGTTAGAATTCTAGAAAAGAGATTAAGAAATATAGGGGTTGATTCCAGATGGAATATGTAATAAATAGAGAATTTATAATTGATGGTAGCGAGTGCGTTTCCAGTTTTGAGATTAGATCAGTCCCTGTGAAATAATGAAAAAAATCACGGCAAGATTAGGAGTAAAGCGAGTAGAGAGGTGTGGTAATTGATGAAAACTTTTACTTTGTCCTCCAAAGTCTAAAATCATTCACGCAGGCCAACCATTGGCATTATGTTACTTTATTAGGCTTTTAATTCAGCAGTTGGAGGTGAGACTAATAATCCAAGTAAAAACAATTATGATCAAAATGCAAGAGGAAGGGTTGGTGCTCAGGTCACCTGACATAGGATCAGAAAGTACGAATATGGGTACTTTGAAGTAAGATCAGTTAGTGATTTGTACCTAAGAAGTAGTGCCCAAGATAGCGCCCAGAATGTAGCAAATAATCAAATGGTGTTTTTTGTCTGCCTTATTTATTTAAGATTTCGAAGGCAAAAGGAAGTTGTGTTTAGCATAAAATGAGTATAACAGGTGGCAGACTGTGGTTTGATGCCTTGTAAATTTATATTTTTATTGCCAAATACAATCATTGCAGAAAATGAGATAAGCAAATAGAAAAAAAAACCACACCACAAACATTTGAGAGATAACCTTTACTGACTGTTTTTGCATATCCATTAAAAATTTCCTCCATCAAACATATGTGTCCATATTTATATTACTGCTGTTAGGTACTCATAGTATTTATTCCCTTGTTCTGATATGTGCAAATTCTACAGGACCACAATGAGTTGTTCTAGAATTCTCACTCTTTACACATTACCCATAATTTGCTTTGATCCACACAACTTAATGCCTTTACAGTCAATAAAACACAGCCAAACATTTTTCTTACAGCATCTGTTATCGGCCAAGATATCAGCAATGATATTCCTTGGTCCATATTCTCTTCTGAATTCTACTTGAATTTTTTGTGGTTCCCTATTAATGTACTGCTCCAGTCACTTTTCAACTTATCTTCAGCAAGATATTACTTGCATATTTTATTAATGATAGTGTTCTATAGTTTTCTCATTATGTTGAAGCACTTTTCTTTGTAATGGATGCAAATATGGATTTCTTCCAGTTGGTTGGCCAGGTAATTGTCTTCCAAGTTTCTTGGCATAGACATGTGATCACTTACAGTATTCATTCGTTAAAAACATTTTAGTAGATACTCACTCTGTCAGTTCCTGGAACATTTTTTTCCATAAGCATTTTCAGTGTAGTTTTGACTTCTTCTATGAGCACCTTTGGTTCTTAAGTTTATATTTTCTCCTGAAATGGTTTAGTGTGAACCAATTCTTTTTGGTTCTGTGACTATTGTTGTTATGTCTCCTGAGAGACTCATTGCAACCTTATGCACAATGGCTTGGAACCCTGCCTTTTCTTGAGCCAATCTCATAGTCTTGACACATCTTCTGTTATTACCGCAGTCATTGTGTCAATCCATCTCCTCCAGGATCTTCCTCTCCTGCACTGTACCTCCATCTCTCCCAGTGTGATGTCCTTCTCCAAGGACCAATCCCTCAGTATCTGAGACAGTTTCAAAATCTTTGCCTCCAAAGAGCAACTTTGGACAGGACAGACCTATTTGTTCTCTTGGCAGGGTATGGTATGTCCAACTCTCTTCTCCAGCACCACAACTCAAAGGCATCAATTATTCTTCTGTCATCCTTAGTCCAGCTCTATGATATATAGCAAGTAATTGCAAAGACCATAGCCTGAATCAGGTGCACTTTAGTTGTCAGACTAACATCATTGCTCTTCAGCACTCTGGAGAGGTCTCTGACAGTAGATTTTCCCAGCAAAACTAATCTTTTAAAAAAATTATTAAATTTTATTAGTTTTAATGAATATTTACAGAGATTTGGGGTTTTCATTCATTCATTGTTGCACTATTTTCTCTACCCTCCCCCCCAGTTCGCTCTTCTTTCCCCCCCCGAAAGTCTGTTTTAATTGTCCAGTTGCCACAGTGCTTGTCAAAGCCAGTTCTGATTAATCTCCTTTGTCAGTGTGTCCTTTGCCATTCCCTATCACTCCTCCCTGAGAGAGACTTCACCCTGATTCATAAGGAAAAGGAGATGGCGTATTCTCTTAGCTACTTCCTGCTGAAAAGGAACCCTGTAGGTTTCAGGGTGAAGATCTTCTCTCACCACTCTTGTGCCGAGAGTCTTGACTGTGGAACCAAGCAAGTTGAAGCTATTAACAATCTCAACCTCTTCTTCATCTATCATGAGCCAATTGACCTAGTGCTGAGAATCTTTGTTTTCTTAATGTTAAACTTCAATCCATATTGGCTACTACAGTCTTTGACCTGCTATAGCAAATGCTTCACATTCTCCTCAGTCTATGCGTGCAAAATTATGTCATCTGCATAATGTAAGTTGTTGACGAGTCTTCCTCCAGTTTTGATGTCACATTCTTCCTCATAAAATCCAGCCTCCTGAATGATGTTATGCTGTAGATTTAATAGATAATGGAGACAGGATATATCCCTGAAGCACTCTTTTCCTGATTTTGAACCATGCAGTGTTTTCCATGTTTCTGAATTTTCCCACCACTGGAGCAGTATTCTGATCCTTTATTCTCCATTTTACTTACTAATACACACACACACACATACACACACACACACTATCTCTGTCTCTAAATTGGCATCTTTCTTATTACGTGGAGACACTGTCTTTTTCATGTTGGTGTGCTCCACATACCTTCTATTTCCCAGTTGCTTAA